TGTACAAGACTGCCGCTCCTTTTGGAGTACCTATTTGGACTCTGATCATGCCCTGGTCTGCGCCAATCTTGCCTTACATTTCAGTGGCCAACGAAGTGACCACCACCAAAAGATTGATGTTAGCAAGCTGGTTGCAACTTCTGTTGCTAGTAAGTATCGAACCGAGCTAGCCTCTAGGCTAGCTACCACTCCACCGAAAAGTATAGATGAGCATTGGTTGCAATTGCATGACGCCATGAAAATGGCGGGTACAGTCAGTTGCGGCTTCAAGAAACGTCCCGCTTATAAGCACTGGGTTTCTTCAGGCTCCTTACAACTCATTGAAGCCCGTTGGTCTACTTAGGGTGGCCGTGAGTTTGATCACAAACGAAGGCTGTTATGTAATGAAATCGGTCAAAGCTTGCGTAAGGACCGAGAAGCCTGGTGGTCGGAGAGTGCTAATGAGCTGGAAGCAGCATCTGAACCTGGTAACTGCCGGAAGCCCTTCCAACTCATCCGAGCCACTGTCAGCAAGAAGTCTGGTGTGAGCGAAACAATCTGCGAGGATGACAATATGCCAATCACTAACATCGATCGACATCTTTGACGATGGGCAGAATTCTTCGAAGGGCAGTTCAGCTGGCCCGCTGCTTCGGGCTGCAGGTACGGTATGTGCCTTGCACCTTCGAACTGCAAAGTACTTCTACAAGACTGGCAGGATTCTAATCCTGTACTCACCCTGGATGGTGAGCAGATAGAAATAGTCGAGAAGTTCGTGTATCTGGGTAGCTGCATGAGTGCTGGTGGGGGTGTGAGTGATGAGATCAATGCACGTATAGTAAAAGCCAGAGCGGCTTATGCCAATCTGGGCCATCTTGGGCGCCTTCGTGATGTCAGTCTGGCTGTAAAAGGTCGGATCTACAACGCGCCGGTGAGAGCAGTTTTGCTCTATGCTTGTGAAACCTGGCCTCTCCGAGTTGAGGATGTTAGACGACTCTCTGTGTTCGATCATCGTTGTCTCCGAAGGATTGCTGACATCCAGTGGCAACGCCATGTTAGTAATGCAGAGGTTGGACATCGTGTGTTCAGGCACAGAGATGATAGTTCAATTAGTGTCACAATCTTGAAACATCGACTTCGGTGGCTTGGACATGTTCTACGAATGTCGTCCCAGAGAATTCCATGTCGTGCATTATTTGCCGACTCTGGGACTGGTTGGAAAAAGTGGAGAGGTGGTTAGTGTATGACATGGTGTCGTGGTATGAAAGAAAGCTGCAAAGGGCTGGCTTGTGTTGGTCCTTCACGGCTCCCTGGCTGGGGTCCGAGAGATGGTGAAACACAGTGGGTAGAGACGTCATCTGATATTGCTCAGAATAGAAGCCAGTGGCGATCCTGCTGTAACCTTCGTTTGCTTTCTTCATAAGAAGTGGTTGTATCTTCCTTAACTGAAAGATTGCTTCTGATTGTACCTTTCCGTTCCCCCATTATTACCATTATTATTACACTACCTTACACTGATCTGTTCATTATTGTCTTTCCTATTTTCTTTTACGCCCTTTACCTTCTTTTTTTTCTCTTCCCATTCTCGTTGTTTGTGTGGCGCATATATATTTGCCTCCCTCTTGTACCAATATTTATGTGTTCGAATAAATAAATAAGTATGTTTTTTCTTTGTGTGGCTTTGCTGATTAACAAGCATGATGGTGTGGAAATAACTTCAATCCACCCATGCCTGTAGAGCAGAACACTTTGTTTAATTACGGCTCCTTATGGTCTAGAGGAATGTCACGAATGGTATTGATGCTGATTTGTCATGCAGAATACCTCATTAAATCGTGTTTAGAAAGTTTAATCTGTTTCACTTCCTACCCAGTAATTTTATTACAAACAAACCAGACAATTCGCTAAAAACGAAGCCTACTCTAGACCCTATAAAATCTAAAAAGGGCTCCAATAGCTTCGACAAAAAAAGGAAAACAGCAATTTCTGTATAACAATACTTTTTTTAGTACTATATTTTATAAATAAACATTATCCCATACTCTCAGCTTCGTTCTGAACCACTTCCATTCGTCATTTGTTTATCCATTTATACCATGTAAACACATTTCCTTTAACGTATTAGAATGCTCTTGCCTAATAAATACTTCAATAAGAGAGAACTTGACTGAATAGTCATACCTTAACTATTCCTCCGTCAACACTGTCTGCTCTGCTTCTCGTCTTTTCTTTTTCTTGCACCCTTTTACAGTATAGCGACTCACATGCAAATGAGTTTAGTCTTGTAGCGGTAAATAAATCCCCAAAATAAATAGCACTAAGTTTTCGACATTGGATGCTGACCATTTGTTTTAGTGGATGATCTATGTCGAAATGATTGGAGGCCTACTCCAGTTAGACGTGAATGGTGTGACGAACCAACTAACGTCGAAGTCACACCTCGTGGTCAGCACCTTACGTGGACTACCCCCATTGACGTAACAAGGTACTATAGATGCTTTGAAGACTGTACAACACAAAGGACGTTATTACAGAAATATATTAGTTAAGGTAGATACAGGCGAAAGTAAGACCACTGTCGCATGGGCCAGTCCATGGCGTATGATTAACTAATGCGCGTTTGTAGTACATGACCTTGGCAGGGAGCGACGATCTGTTCGACATTCAGTGATCCAACTGCCGGATGATTTGGCTAGGGCTCAGTGACATTTCACTGGCCCTACAGTCTCATCTAACGCAGTTAAGCCCTTTTGCTAACTCATTTAGCGGACAAAGTCATCCGCACTATAACAACTTATTGTACCCCTATTATTTTGTGCTTGTATGAAATACGTATGCTTGATATTGCTTACGGCCTACGCATTTATTCACTCTGCTAGTCTTACTACTAACTGATTATTTGATTCGTTTACTCATTCATTTCACATGCTATATATATGTCCATGTTATTCATACTCACTCACTCATTCACACACTCACTCACACACTCTCGTCTCGCTCTTGCTATGGCTCTCGCTCGCTTGCTTGCCTTTCGGCACAACTCTTCTATGCTTGTTTAACGCATCTGTACATTTGGATATGTGTGTGGTCTCGTAATAAACGTAATCAACACTTCGTATTTGTCTTCTGATTAATATACCGTTGGGACGTTATATGGAACGGTTATCAAGACGAGCTGTATACGAAGTTTAAAGATTATATCGAACACCGACCACCACAACAGCCCCCTTGAGACATGCCACTGAAAACAGATATGGAACGGGTGGTCCCGTCCTGCACCATCATAAAATCTTCAGATATTCCAAAGGGATATAAGGTTGCGATTTCTAGTAGCTCCTGATGATGATAGAAACAAGATAATTTTTTCTTCGCGTTAGCCGCGTTTTAACGCGCCAAATCATTTAAATAATGTGGCACCCAGGTGATTTGTGTTGTGACCCCCTCTTTTTGCTTCAAACTCTTAAGGTATGCTGCTTAGAGTCTCATCTGATTTTACGCTAGTAAACTTCATGTTGTTCCATAATAATTGGTGATTGCCTAATATACCGTCATTGTTTTTTTCTTCATAAATACGTGGGATTCCGCGTTTAAAGTGGTCAGTCGGACGAGTTTTATTGATAAAACAATGATAAGTCGACAACCTTAGGCGAATTCGCGAGTGAGTGTAAGGTTAATCAATTCAGAATGCAGCCTTCGTGTGAAAGCTCTAAAACATAAAGTAATAGAATCACAGATTAGTAATTTTAAATGTTCACTTTTCAGTAATAAGGACAGGTCTATCGACCTATGTTAATCCTTGCAGTTTGTAACACTGTGGAGGTCCAATATCGTTTTGAATATATCGAAAGAATATGGTATTACGTGTTCTGGCAGAAAATTCCAGTAGTTCACTACTCGGTACAAGAAACGAAACTACAGATGTAGACAATTTGATCTCGGTTTTTGAGCTTTCTTATTGTTGTTAGTGCTACATATCGATAAGTTGAGCTAGAGTTCATAGTTGTGCAATATGTACAGACGCTTAATCTTGGCTTTGTATCTTTTAACATTTAACTCTTAGCACTAAAGCTTCTGAACTTAAAACCCCTATACTCCCAACGTAAACACACATTTGGCTCCATGTTCATCATGTTTGGTTCTACCTTCTATTTCCAGACTGCATTTTCCTCATCATGTTTGTATCTAATTTCGGGAGATTGTTAATAGAGAGAGCACCAGTTCCAGAATCGACAACCTGAGTAGAGCACATAAGACTTTAGCCAGATGACTTTTATCCTCGGTCGTGGAATAAATGCATATATTGAAAACAATAGTGATGAAAAAATATTCTGTCAGCAGTATGGTTCAGGCTGAAATGATGAATCCTATGTTGACCCCATCGATCTGGCAAGTGTTCACCTTCATATATAAACTGGACTTTACATATAGATATCCTTAACAAGTATATGTGTGATCAGATTGCTCGAAACGTATTGCGCTAATATATCACAGTTCCAATGATCTCCATCTTCTTATTACACTATTCGAATCCGTCAAAGGAACTAATTGCTTATAATGTTGTACTAACCATTTTGGTTAAGAAGCTGGAGTCAGTTATTTCAAACAATCTTAACGGGACTCTAGCTTCCTGCCAGAATGTATAGTACAATAACAGTATAACCGCAAATATACACAGGATAGTTCTCGTCCACAAACGATTCCTCATTTCAGCCAGAACAACAGAATATTTTTCATTGCTATTGTTATCAATATATGCATTAATTCCATATTAGCCCGTTTTACCAATAAATTTTAAATACACGTTTGCATAATTTCATCAAATTCTTTTGTCATCAAGTTAGGTTTTTAGTCGTAGCCTTTATGGACTTTTGATTTCTGACCAGATTTCCCATCCTTCAAGACGACTTATCAGCGATAAGCATTGTCACATCGCTGCAAGTTCATGACACGTCCTCACTCTCGTGTTTTGGCCATCGCGTTTGTCATAGTCATATGTATCCTGTTGTCTACCTACATATATAATGTTTGTGAGTAAATTTTATTAACACATATGCCTTAGAATCATAAAAGGAGCGTGAACATTGTTAGACGTAGAGGTTTTTCTTCTGAACTGCAATACTTCGGTAAGAGTTACAAGGTTTTAGAAAGGTATTTTGTTTTCTATTCTTTGTTTGTCTACAACTTATTCATCAGGCACACTGCTTGTTTAGAATTCATTTAATATATTTTCTCTTTGAATTGGTAAACGGTGCACTTCATACGTGCTAGACACTGAAATAATCAACATAGTGTAGGGGTAGGTTGGAAGAAAGCTAGGGTCAGCCAGACCAAAACATGGCACAAACCCATAAAGTCGCTGACAAGTGGACTGAGCCATGTTGGTAGGTGTAGACTACCTGGTTGGGATCCGCGAGATGATAGCAATCGATGGTTAGAGACCTTGAATGACATGGCTCAAAATCGTTTGCAATGGCTCAAGTGCATCCACTCTTTTTGTTTTCCCAAATTCTAGTCTTTTGAATTCTTCATGTCCTTTTTTTTCTCTTTCCAAATTTACTTCACTGGATTATACTCTTTGAATAACATATTCAAACCCTAATTTTTCCGATTACTGCTAAAAATTTTACTACCTCTACCACTATGGGATTTGAATCGACAACTGCATCTGTGTGCGTCGATAACTTCTGATCAGCCCTAATGGATTGGTGTCTGACGAAATCTCAGCACGGATTCGAGAAGCTCGTTTGGCTTTTGCCAACGTACGTCACCTATGGCGAAGGCGAGATATCCGTCCACCAATTAAGGGACGAGTATACTACGCGGCAGTTCGTTTTGTTCTACTTTACGGCTGCCAAACGTGACCACTAAGAGTAGAAGATATTCGTAAGCTAATAGTATTTGACCACAGATATCTTGGAAATATAGCTCGCATCTACTGGGATCACTGAGTAAGTAATAGTAAGGTTAGACACAGGGTATTAGGAAATGATGGTAAATCAGTTGACGAAGTTGTGAATCTTCATAGACTAAGATGATTGGGCCACGTGTTGCGTATGCCTGAACACCGATTACCATGACGCGCAATGCTGACTAGTGTTGGGGATGGTTGGAAGAAAGTTAGGGGTGACCAAACCAAAACGTGGCATCAGTGCTTTAGGTCACCAACTTCTAGTCTGAACCATCTTGGTAGATGCTGGCTACTTATTTGGGATTCGTGTGACTATTGTAACCAATGGTTGAAGACTGAGTGACATGGCTGAGAATCGATCACAATGGCGTAGGTGTATACACTCTTTTTCTTCCCTTAAATCGTGAGATTACAATTACTCTATACCTTACTTTCTAATTCTTTGTTCCTGAATTATATCCTTATACACAATCTTTTATATATTACTACCATTGAAGTAACTAATTCTATGAATTTGGTGTTCATCTTGTTGTGCTAATAAGGTATGTCATCTTGAACCGACGCATATATGTTCCTGACCCTACGTTGTAGCTGACTGACAATAAAAAACGTACAACCGAGTTAACTTAATAATATTATTATGGGAAGAAGAAAAATTGAAACCTAGCTTAGAAACGTGATTCTGATCCTCAAATATTTATTATATACGATAACTACTAGCAGCCGTAACATGTTTAAATTATAAATGCCTGAAGATTGTTAAACGTGTGGGATGAAAACTGCAGTGATATGTTGCTCAAGATTTACAGAGAGGTAGAAGATGAATGTATTTGCGTAATCGTTGGAGATTTTAAGCGATATTCATGGAAGGTTTTTAGTCATTCTCAGCAGTCTTGGCAGTTGCTTCCAACAGGCTTGCATTTTCGTACTCGGGCCGGACTAACATTCACTGTTTCCATAGATTAGTGTCATATTCTAGTCGAATAAATAAAGGCGGTTATGTCCTAGTAAATATTCCACCTTGATCGTATTTACTTCAATTTTATGTCGATTCATTTTTCCTGTTTAACTCGTATTTTAGATATTAAGGCCTCATCACCGAACTCTACTTGTCGCCATACAAAACAAAGTCCCATACTCGTTGTTGACGAACTAGGATATCTGTGTAATTATTTTAATCTCCTGACAAATAGTTGTTGCCCGTTTCAAAAATTAACACAGCGCTTTTTTTGTCATTCATGCAAATCTAATTACTGCTGTTCTATCTACGAACATTGTGTTTCTTGCTGCCTCAATCCAATTAATGTAAGTTACAGCTTGCTATTGTAGTACTTTTTACTATTTTTCAAAATTTAAATGTTAGTAAATAAGTACATCTGAAGCTCCAACCACAAGTTTTTAGTTCAGTTCCCGTTTTATCTACCAATGTTTAAATAATTAGTTGTCACCTTTAGCTCTTATAAAATAGATATGACGTGACCTAAATGTGCGTTGTTATCGAATTAATGTAAGTTTGAACTCAATCATCTCTACAACCCTATAGTGAGAAAACTTGTTTAACTTTAGTTTTAATAGTTCGTAAAAGATACAGTTCTATGTAGACTCTTCTGTGGAACGTAACCATTGAATTGGATTCGCATCTTTAAGATGAGCTTGGTTAACAAATTTCTGGGTTGGCTCTGAATATCGGAAGCCAATAAATAGAATAGGAGCCTCAACCCAGTATGCAAAACATGCCACTGACCTCAGAAATATTTACACGAAAACTTAATCGTAGTTTCGAGGTATGTGTATACACATATTACATGTATCTGCAAAATCAGTTTTTGTATTTTGATGGCACACCACCTGAACATGACATGCAAGTAAAAACATTCGAAATAATGAGTACAAAACATATCTCTGTCATATTGAGATTCTCAGAAACCGTAACAACGAGAAGGCTAAAACATAGACCTTACGTTTAACAAAAGACAGTGGTTAACATTCAACTACCCCGGAGTGATTGAAACGACATGTGACTAACTTGCCTTTTTTAACATTTTTCATTCAATCATGACTACAACTCAATGTGTCAAGTTTTAACTTTCCATTTTCTTATTTTTGTAAATTCCTAATAAACAATATTCTTGAACTGCCATTTTACTTATCGATAAATACTTTGCTAAATCTCAATTTCGACTCCATCAAAACTCTTCCAAAAGATTTCCTGCAATGTTATGGACAGTTCATCTTAATTTACAAGCATACTAAATGGAGACTTATCTTTGAATCTCCTTATAGGTTGGTATCAGTGGTGACTCTTAATGGTATGCGTTCTGTTCACTTAATTCTGAACGAATCAATGTCGACTCGGTGGTCAGAACGTTTGACTTTCAGTCGTTGAGTTTCATTTTGCTTAGAATTTGAATTGATTCGATTTTTATTTTCAACTAGGCAAATATTAAGCTGCATTTCTCTTTTATGTTACATTTAAGAAATCCCTGTGGGATAAAGTTCAAAATCTTAGTGCTAACTATAAACGTCATCTACAATTAGCTACAGATGCATTCGAATTTTGTATAGCAGTTTGTAGAACTTCTTCACTAGTAAGTATTTATTATTGCTAGAATTGATCACTGTTAATAGTAGTTTTAACTTTGTTTATATTATTCCTATGTTCTTATTTACGCCTCCAATAGTAAGCTTACCAACTCCGTTACCCAATTTTTTAATGAGATCAATAACCCCCCAAATGCCCTGGTATGGCCGAGAGCGGGGTGGGTCCGCCCTCCCTCTCGAAATACTCTCACACGGCCACGCGTATACAGTCTTTGCCAGGGAAGTCCTACTCACTGCCTTCTCGTGGCGGGGGTGTTGTTTACGAGAATGAGAGGACGAATGTCCGGCGCTTTAACCGGATCCCAAACCAATGGTGCACATTGGCTCCAGTATCCTGCAGGAACAAATGGCGTATGAACCAATTTTCGGTCACCGGCTACCATGGGACTACATCTCCTTACGATGCTCCACTGCCTTGTGGGTTAGACCTTTAGGTCAAAGGCTCGGGGTGTGGCCTCCTAAGATAGCCACCTGCTTCGGTCTGGGCACCCGGGCAGTATCACAGCCCACACGCAAATGATGAACTCTCTATATTTATGGAAACTACTTTTCTCGCAAACTTCCACATTCATAAGCTTCCAGTTAGAACACTAAGAACCCTAGGGAGTGGTCGAAAATACCTTTATTTGTTTACATTCATAACTCAATGTGTTAAATAAAAAACAGGACCACAACACAACCATAGTACAAATATTAGTAGATACGTAACTAAGATATTCCCAATTCTAATCTGAGTAACAAATGTATAGTCAGTAGGCTGAAAAGCTTATAATTAAGGCTATACAATTCTCATAATATGACTACTTGATAAATAATCATTAAAATGTACCATCTAGTTCGCCAAAAATTATCTGTCCATATTTCAGATTTCTCTTTCCTTTTGTCTTCCTAAGAATTATCATTACGCGAAATGTCTTGGTGTTTCGCATTGAATTTAATGTCTCCTTGCGTTGCATTGGCTAGTCTTCTCACTAGATAGCTCATTCAATTAGGTAGTACCGAAGTAGATGTTCGTTAGAAATATCTAGCTCAATCCAGGTTCCTTCATTTCCTTTAACAGGCTTAATTCGTAATAGAATTAAGCTTAACACTACGATGTTTACCTAACACCAGTCAAGCTTCAAGTAAAAGTTGACGTGATCTGATTTCTGTCACTTAATAATTATGACAGTTTGTGTCGTTTGGGTTTTACATATCAATAAAATGCAAGCATATTGCCGATGAATAAAGGGATTCTCCGATCCATTATTAGGAATTTAATATCATGGTTCCAACAGTAAACAAGTTGAATTCCAAAGGTCCCCTTAAGGTCAAAACAATGCGAGTCATGCTAAAATGCATGAAGCTTAATTTAACGGCTTCTTGTCAATCGCATCCTATTGCAAAACTCAATCTGTCGGGAATTTGAGTCTGTATTTCTTAGGTGATTACAGTTAATTATTTACAGAACCTCCTACACACTCAGTATTAAATCTTGTACATTTGCACTGTTGCATTTTAGAGTGTCTTGCATGAAAATCGGTACCGCAATTTGGAAGAACTTTATTGCTTTGGGCTGAAAAGTTCAAATACTCCAACACACTGATTGACTTATCAGTAAATTTTTATAGATTGTAAGTCTTACTTCTATCTACATAAATTTCCCATTCTGATTGTAGAATAACCTCACCATTGTATGTTTATTCAGGTGACTAGTCTCAAACAGAACAAGGGTGTGAATAAAGATGGATGGTGGGTAGCAGTGAAATCCAGGACGCGCGTTTCGTCCTGTTTTGAACTCGTCAGTTGTGTGTACATGCACTCGAGTTGATGTTCACTCCGGGACTAGAACCCAGTACCGCCCGCTTCAAATGCCATCATATTATCCGCTTAGCTACTGAATCCTGATAGCCACTCGATTGTGAAATGGGGCGAAGTTTAAATTCATTTTGTTTTGTTTGTTTGAATCTTCCCACTGATGCTTAGGACTGCAGTTGATTTACACTTCCCCATCGTATTAGCTAGTGGCTATTGAGACTCAGTAGCTAAGTGAAATAAGACAACGGCGTTCTAAGCGGACGGTACTCGACTCGAGTACCGAAGTAAACATAAACTCAGATGCAAGTGCATCCAGCTGACGAGTTCTAAATAGGACGAAACGCGCGTCCTGGATCCTACTGCTGCCCACCACCCATCTTTGCTGATAATGCTTGTGACTTAAGGCAACATCGAGGCAATCATCACAGGTTGCACATACGCCAATAACAGACTGACCAATTGGAGTCATAAACATCAATGGGAAGATTCAAATAAACAATACAAAATAAAAACAAGGGTGTGTTATGGGCTGCAGTGCTATTGGCCACATAAAATATTATCACCGATTCTTTTCAGTAAGCATATTTTACTGATTAATGTCAGTAAAAGATTTAGACGTAGTTTGTGGCAGAACATTGATAAACTATTTTCGTACTTCTTCCATTTTGTTTTTTGAACTTTGTATTTTACATATTCTCAACATTCATCTCTTGATTCTTACACAACTATTCTACTGACCATCCATCAAAATATTCTGTTCCTTCTCTTCTTCATATATTATGCAACGTAGCAGCTTCTTGATTTTCGAACAATTACTTTGATTATTATTAATCCTCTTTCTTCCAATTACCCAATGTTAATTTATGATCGAAATGTCATTATGTAATTATTACGCAACGTATCTACTCGATGAGTATTATTTCATTATTGTAAATCATATATATATTAGTGTGGATCCATGATGAAAAACAAATTGAAAAGAAATTTCTTCACTCGATTCGTACCTTCTTTATTTACGAATTACAGTCATTTAGTTAACTTCTGTCTATGAATTTCATTGTATTCTTTCCTTAATTTCAAAAATCCAGCATCACAACGCTTTCTTTTAACTAAGTTTACTGTAGTTTTAAGGTAGAGTTTACATGGATTCAAAAGAATATTTTAAAGTTATTTTCACCTTTATTAAAATATCTTGATCAGTATCGTCACTTTCTTCATTTATACAGTCATCAATATGTCACTAGATCATTGTAAAAATTTGGCCTACTATCTACTAACTACAAATTATGCTCCATATCAAAATGAAAAGTTGCAACACTTGTTTGGTCATATTAATGATGATAAAAGTAGTAAAACACGGAGAAAACCTCTTTCGAAAGCTCCTACTACTGCAAACACCACTAACAGTGTTACTGTCAACATATCATATGCAGATAATTCCTTGCCTGTATTATCTAGAAATACTCAACAAAAGAAACATTATAATTTCTTAATAAAAATGCTTAAACGTGACAGTCTCTTGCCAGAATCACTATGGAATAACGTAAGTGAACTTTCGTGGGCTATATCTTGAATGTGTGTACGTTCAGAGTGTAATATTTTCCTTCAATTTATTTGTCCATGAAATACGTTCTTATCTGTAATTGTCGGCATACAACATCGTAAATGTAAGAATCAGTTGGAAGCAACCGTTTAGCGGTCAAATTAAATCGTCTTAGATCAGTAGTCATCAAAGTAAGTTACTCTTACAGTGATGCACCTGTAAGATTCAGTGCTCTGTATTTTTTGCATATAAGATCCTAGTGTAAGTCTATGACTGCTCTATTTTCAAAAGCAAAGGATTGAGTTAGGCATTATGTAAAATATAATCACTGAAGGGCAACACCACGTGTTTAATATGGAGATTATATTTAAATGTCTTTATTATGGCAACCAGATGCATCGATAAGTTGACAACGAACATATTTTATTGAATGGTAATGATGTACCAATAAGTACTCCGTTTCCTCAGTTTGGTTCTTATAGACCTTCAGCAATATCATAAGGTAACATAACTATAGAGAATTACTTGTGTCCGATTTTTTACTGCTATTTTTTATCGATTCATAATTCACTGAAAAGGTTATTAGCTTGACGTTGATTAATCAAAAAGTAGGACAATTGTTAAATGCACACTTATTGTGAATTGACTTGAACGAAAGAAACTACTGGGAGAGATAAGGAGTATTATACAACTATTTCACTCTAGTCTTAAACTCCTTAGCGGTCCGCACATATACAACTTCATACCTAAAGCGGATTCCAATAATTCACCTCATATATAACTAATATATTATCAGCAAGTTACTGCCTTCTTATAATCGGCTAAGTTTTGGAGGTGAAGATTTGTCACTGGAATTTCTGGAAATCTGTCTCTAGACTATTCGCTAGTGAACACACGATCATTAGTATTATGTTGGTTTTGTGCGGATCCTCTCATTACTAACTGAAAATTAACTGAAAACAAAATCCATTATGTAAAATTTATCTGATAAGACTTTTTGATGAAGTAAAGTAAGCTTTTGCTCCACTAATAGGCATCTAAAGAGTATTAACTTTGCAGTATACATACGAACTCGTGTCAACAATGTCAATTCTCAATTTTACATAACTATCATCCATTGTTACCTGTGATACCTGTATCATACATAGTTAAATCCCATCGCTTAAATTGTTTCACAATGGGACTTTGGGGATTTTCCTTGAAACCTGTGACTAGTGATATAGTTGATTGCTGAATGTTAAGATAGTTCACATTAGCTGACTGACTTAAGTTATAAAAATATTCTTCCTGTTTTTATCTTGTGGTTGTTTTAAAATAATTCAATAATTTCATCATTCTTTATTCTATTCTGTCTAAAGGTTTATAATCAACTATGTGATAATTTTGTTTGTGAATTAAATTCTTTGCATCGGAATTTTCATCAACTCACATCTACCAGTGCATTTGTTAATTATGTTATTCAATATCTGGGACGTTCATTTAGTATGAAACATAATATTATTCAGTTAACCGATATTGGATTATCAGAGTCATTTAAACATAATAATATTGACAGTACTTCAGTGAGTAATAAGCTTCGTTTAGTTTGTGTTCAAAAAGTTTGATTAGTTTCTTCATTGGTTGTATAGCTTTAAATGATCCTAAATTGTTCGTTGTATACTTCCATTTATTGGTGATTTTCCTCTTTTTTTAATTTATGTTATGCCTTTAGTTTTGCAAACTATTTTACAAACTTTTAAATTTACAAGTGTATGTAATTTGTGTACTTGTTTTCTGAAATGTTTTTTTTGACTTTGTCATTTCTCATAATGCTTCCCATATTTATTTTTATAGATCCAGAGATATTCTTTTTACATTTGTTTTCTTTTAACGATAAATACATTTTATTCCTCATCCTTAAGGAAACTATGTATCCGAAAATTTCTTTTATCCCTTCAACCCTAAGTGTATACATATTTATTTTATTTTATTTTAAAGTTCCTCTACTGTCTTGGAAAAATCGACTACATTTTTTGATATTACTAAACAGTAGTATAAATGAATTAGTTTTATTAAAAGTGAACATTTTGTTTTATCAAGGTACTTTGTGCTTCATTTCCGTTTAATTTCTTTTTAACTAGATTTCATTGTTAGCAAAACACCTAAATTAGATTTAAATTATGAAGTTATCTCGTTGAAGTATCACGTTTTAAATTAGTCAGTAAGCCACAAAGTAAAACCTGTACGTATGTACATCGGTTCAAGTTGCCATACCCCAATAGCACAGAGGGATGAAGTCAGGCCAAATCCCAGAATAGTAGAGGTAGTAACAGTATCAGAGGTAATAGGAAATATCAGGTATCGAAGACGCTGCTCGTAAAGAAGATATAAACTAGCGAAATGAAAACAAAAAAATTATGAGGAATTTAGAATCTTAGGAATCGGGGGAAGACAATAAATGGATACACTTGCGCCGTTCCTAATGATTTTAAGCCATGTCATTCAAAGTCTCTAACTATTGGCTACAGTAATCACGAAGACCCTAACCAGATAGTCCATACCTACTTACATGGCCGAGTCCAATTTTCATTGACCGATGCCGTTTTATTTTGGTTGCCCTCAGTTTTTTTCCAGCCTAGTCCTGTACCAGAAAACATTGCCCGTCAAGATAGGCGGTGGTTGGGTATACGAAACACATGTCCCAACCACCTCAGTTGATGACGATTTACTACCTCATCAGTCGATTTACCGTCCTTACCCAGTACTCTACTCCTAGCCCAGGTATTTCTTACTCCGTGGTCCCAAAATACACGAGCAATGCTTCGTAGACTTATGATCAAATACTAGTAACTTACGAATATCCTCTATTCTTAATGGCCATGTTTCACATCCATAAGGTAGAACGGAGCGAACTGCCGCACATTAAACCTGCCCTTTGGTTGGAAGATGGATATCTCGTCTACGGCATAAGTGATAAAAGTTAGCAAAAGCCAGTCGATCCTTCTGAAGCCCTGTCGAGATTTCGTCTGACACCAGAACATCAGTAGTGATGAGACTTCCATGGTAAGTGACGTGGTCGGCGCGCTCAAATATTTCACTTCCTATTACCCAAGCCCATCCTGAAATAACATTTGACTTGAGACAACCGCATCCCAAACATGTTTGCATTGTTGCCTAAGGTAGTCAGAAGGCTGAATTTTGTCAGCGTCTTCCCCGAAAAGAACTGTATCGTCTGTGCATCCCAAGTCATCAAGGGAATCTGGTGGGAGATCAATCCCAAGAAAGTCAGACGATGAAAGTGTTATCTCTGAGAGCATGTCTATAATAAACTTAAATAAAAGTGGACAACTCTGATGAACACAATTTAGAGTGACCAATTCCGACAACAGTTCATCATATGCTCTGACTCGACCAGTAATGTTCGAGTAGAGATTATGTACATGGTTAGTGCACTTTTTTGGTACGCCTTTCATTGACAGACAATGCCATAGAACCTCACGATCAACAAAGTAGAGTGCTGTCTTAATGTCAAAGAATAGTAGGACGTCGAAAAGTATGGCTGTGTTCTAGCATTTGCCGGAATGTGTGTATTTGGTCTATACATCCACACTCAGGTCTGTAACTATTCTGACTTTCTCGTGTTAACTCTTCACGAGCCCTAGTTAGATGTCAAGTATTGTTGAAGCTAATATTTTATATACTATTAGTTAAATTGACTCTGTGATTGTTACAAGGGGATTTTTGTCATTTCTTATAAACTGGGACGATCACCGATCGAGACCATTCAGGTAGAATTACGTTCAGTTTTCAGTTAACTACTAAAACTAGACCATCATCCTTAAAAATCTCAAGGGTTAGTCCATCGGACCCTGCTGCTCTCCCTGGCTTTAGATTACTTACAGCCTTTTCAACTCCGCTAAGAGTTGGAGGACTTACACCAGTTTGCCATTCAGGTTGCTGGGAGATGGTGGGTAACTGTAGTGTGGCTGAAGGTCAGTTGAACTGTTCCCTAAAGTGTCCTGCCTGTCAGTCTAATCTCTTGGATTAAGAGTGAATAACAGTCCCTTCATTTTCTGTGACGGTTTCATTAACAGCCGTATTTCTAATACCCGTTTGCTTGATAAGTCTGAACAGTTGTCGACTGTTACCCATCGCTGCTGCATCTTCCATCTATTCTGTTTTCGCTACCTACCACTGCTGACGATCATTACGTAGGCCTTCGACCAGCCTACATTTAAGCTGCCGACGCTCCTCACCGTGTTCTGAGCCAGATGTTATAAGTTTCTGAGAATCTGCCAGTCCTGTAGACGCCTCTGAAATCCACTGATTTTACGTTCTGGATGTTGTTGCTAAATGTTTTAATTTTCTACAATATTAAAATAATTTTGGCTTGTATAGAATATGCTTCAGAGTATAAAAATTTCTGCTGTTTTGCGATAAAGTGATTAATTCTTGTTTAAGGTATGATCATTTTAAAACCAATAAATCATTTCTCGTATTTAGGATGCACGTGTACATTTGAATATCAATTTGTAGTTACTTGCGAGTTGGTGTCCTCAGCTTTTTAGACGAATGAAAAGAAAGGTAGAAACATCCTAGGTAATATATTTGAATGGCTTTTTTGTCAATTACCACTGATACCTATACTAGTTTATTTAAACTTTCGGACATAAGTGTAACCGTTTCTACGGAGATATCTTTGTTTGAGAAAACTTTTGTTTCAAATTGCAGTAAACAACCATATAGTTACTTGAGCAAACAAAGACAACATTGAAGAAGTCGCTACTCATATATTTACTAACGAATAGTTATACTATTTGTGCGATATTTAAATTGTATTAGAAATTTATAATAACAGAATTGAAACTCAAAATTGACGACAACAAGAACTAAAGAATTCAAAAATCGAGAGAAGTGTATGGTTAAATGATTAAAACAAAATTGAGAATAATTAGTGTTGAGATTATCTTTAGCTGTGTGATGTAGTTATTGAATTCATTTAATGTGTTAAATTTTCTAAAATTCTATTTCTATAAACCAGATACTTTGCAGAAAAGAGTATGACTTAGAACGTTTTATCGATACAGAATAAATCCTCTGATCTGTACCAGAACGCTACTTAATAAATTTTCCATGGCAGTTAGCCTCATATTTTACTTATTTACGCCTGCTGCACCTCCTAGAACATAGGCCACCGACCAGGATTCGCTGACCAACTCTGTCCTGGGCTCATGGCAGGCACTTTACTACAAATGATAAGTCTTCACTATAACATCATCTATGCTTTCTGAGTACAATAACCTATAAAATGGTCCGCCTAGTTGAGAATATCTTCTTAAAACTGTACGATATTTTCGTAGTGAAATAGGTTCTCATTTTGAGCTTAGACAGTAAATAACGACTGTTTTTTATCATCATTAAGGATAATGTTCGTTTCGTTTGACATATTAGTTTACCCTTTTTCTCTATTTCTAGCTACTGATTGATGCTATCTGATTACATACACACAATTTTTGAGCTGCAATTTTTTTCGGTTATCTTGCATATAAACCTTTGTAGCTTGAAAAAGAATTCGAGAAATCGTCAATTCTACGCTTAGAGATTTATGTTTCACATTACTGATATGAATATAGTAACATGACAATTCCTCCAAAATTACTTCTCAATTATGTAATAACTAGTCATTCTATTCTACAAAAGTTTTAAACTGACCCGTTGTGATCAATATCCTGTCTGATTATTACGTCCCGGTTTTAACATAATATTGTATGATCTAATATTGTTTTCCAGGAAATCCTAGTTACTCGAAAATAAATAGACGACATCGATCATTTATCAATATTAATTGATTTTTTCCTACCGGAATTATGCACATTAAAATGTGAGGGAATAGTCAACTTCATATTAATGATATGGATAATAATAACTTATTTAAATTCCAAGATAAAACACTATCAAATAAACTGTCTGTTTCTAGTTTTTTTTCTTGAAGTCAGTTACAAAGCCTTCTACTATGGTTTCAAAGGTGTTTATTTTAGCTCAGATAAATTATTATTATTTAGTTCATGTAGTCAATCGATTCTTGATTTCACTCCTGTATTGAGAAGCGAATTTATGAGCATTTAAAATTCTGAAACTGCCATAGTTGTATTCATTCAATAAACTTTAAATTTTATGACTGACCAAATTACGAAATAGTCTATAATACTAAGATTGCTATGAAACTGAAACCAAACTCACTTTTTATGTATGTTCTGGTATTTACTAATTACAACCGGATAGTTCAAACTGAATCTCATGTTCACTGAATAAGGAATTATGACTTCATTGAATCCACAGACTTGAAGTCCTGTAGAAAAACTAGCTGACTCTTTTTATGTTATAAATTGTTTTGATAAGATACTAAGAATACGTACAACAAATTTATCACTCCAATAAATTTTATTGCTCAAGTTAGTGTAAGTTTATCACACGTTTCACAATTCTCCTGTTCAGGAATTGGAAATCTGATTCAACGCTCACATATTAAACTTAATGAAAGAGCGAAAAGAATCTTGATGATAACTGCTTTCGAATTTGAATTTTCTGACTTCTAGCATTCATTGACATTTCTCTAATTGAATGATATCAAAAGAGTCTGAATAAATAACTACACAGTTATATTTGTATTTATTTTAATACAAAAGTGTATGACGACAAATATGATTAGAATACACAATGTGAAGTAATTGAACACTATGATATCTGATTACTGAATATCCTTTCAGTTTAATATTTCAAATATTGCTCAATATTTTTGTATCTCATTGAGAATATTTTTCAACATTCAACCAGAACAAAATCCACATACAATTTAATCCGGGATTTCTAAGTTTAGCTGGTATAATAACTTTAAAAAGAGGGGTCTTAATTAGTCTAATGTTAAAGAAAATCTCTTGGTTATCGACTACTGATAATGATTGCTTGTTTGACATTTAAAACATTTCATAGTCGAAACTCATTTGAAGCTATATATCTAGAATTTAAGTTGCATTAATAATCTCATACAGTTAATTGAATAACACACAGGAAATAAGTTTAATTTGGTCCAAAGATTTTACTCTTTTACAATATAATGTAGTCTTAACAATGGATTTACGAAGAATCTGTTTGTAGTTCTACGAAAATAGTATAGTGTTGGTACCATGAAATAAGTTCAACAGAAACTGATTTATTCATAACGTAAACCATATTAATAAATAACGAATATATATTTCTCACATTCAATCAAGACCTTCAGTTGCTAATGCACAAAGATTAACAAATAAAAATGAATCAGTTGAATTTATCAATATTAAGGAAAAAATTAACACAGTAACATAGAAAAGTGAGAATAATTCGATTTAACATATGAATATACTTAATAAATAATTTTACTAACACGACTGACTGAGATTATGTATATTGATGTTTCTTCCAATTGTACATTGTTTCTTATTTGTCGGATCTATTTCTATTTTAGATTGATGTGAAAACAAAAGAACAAATATTATCACACTTGACAGAGGCTCTTGCAAATACCTTAATAAAATATCCAATTCATTTAGCTTATAAAAGGTTAGTTAATTTACTATTTTCAAGCGTAAGTGGTCCATAAATACGAAATAATTCTAACGAAACTAATTGTTGATTAGAAGCTGACGTAATTTGATATCAAAAAGGTATTAAACCCGTCATATATATTAACGTTAGTAATTTATGGATGAGTGGACAAATGAGTTTTCCTAATCAAATAATTCTGGTGCTCATTACTTATTTTTCATTTAGTTTAGAGTGTTTAAGCAAAAAGTAGAGACTGGCTATATATATGATAATAATGTGCATCACAATTCTTGTAGTAAAAAATTTTCGATAGTGAATAGTTTTTTATTAACAGCATTCGTCAGATGAGATATTCACTCTAAGAAATAATGATATATCTGCAACCTTACAAATAAACTAGAAATAATCACTAACTCTCAAGCTTTTTCAAGATGTGAGTTATGTGTTGAGAATATTGAAGCTTTTGGAAATAACCTAAGATGTTAAAGTTTCGACAAACTATTCAATATTGTTCTAATGAGCAGAGAATGAAAACATTGAAAGCAAGAGACCTATTCCATATATGTGGACAGTCTAAAGTTGTTTGTTCCACCGAGACAAACGTCATGACAGTAGTTTTGACCACTGTCAGATTCATTGGTGAAAACAGGATACAATCTTTCAGATGTAGACATAATTACCAAATCTTTAACAAAATCAGTTAATTTTATGGGAGGATGTTCAAGTAAATACCACATTCAGTAGGTCTAGTAACTAAAACAAATATCTGGCATTATATGTGAAAACTATATTTGAAATAATCTCAGCGATTGAAATTTAAATAGTTCCAACGTTTCGTCCAGTTAACTTGTCTAGACTTCTTCAGGGTAATAATCAAAATCAAAACCACCAAAGAAATATATAGCTTTTTACCAATCAAAACTATACTGTGTTAGACCAATCAAATTTGGATTCCGAAGAAGTCCAGACAAGTTATCTGGACGAAATGTTGGGATTATTTAAATTTCAATCGCTGAGATTATTTCATATATAATTTTCACATATAATGACTTCTCTATACTCAGCGCCCAATTTCTGTCAAACTATGTGTTCTAATCTTGACGAATATTCGTATAAAAAACTGGCATGTTTTGTTGTGGATTACATGAGAGACAATATGAGCATTCTGTTATACAACTGATTGAGAGTTAGCCAATTACCAGTGGTGTTTTTTAAAATTTTAATAAGAAATACTTTAACTATACTCTTAGAGTAAAATGTCTTAAAAAAACACTAGTTTATTAATAGTCTGAGTGAATTAACACATAATTTTGTATTTGTTCTTAGATCACCTTCAGGCTTAGAAACTGTCAAATCGTACGTCTCTACATTTCGTAAACAATGCAAGGAAGTTCTAGAATATTGCCTATCACACTTCGAGGCAAATTATTTAGTGAGTGATAAGTAAAATAAAATAAAATTTTTGTGTCCTAAAGTTACATGTGATATCTGTTAAACCTTGAAAATCTATGTTACAATATATATCACTTACAGTCAATTTAATTAACAGCACTGATTGGACTTAAGAAACATACTGGTAAAAAGTGATACTACTATATAGTAGTTTATATATTTTGTATTAAAATTAAAAACCAAACATTATGCCATAAACTTCATTAACTTCTTTATATAAGACAATATACTCGACTTTACCATTGACTATATGTCGACACTGTTAGTGTTTTGAATTGTTCAATGATTGAAAAGCTGTAATCTTCATGAATAAACTATGTTCATGAACAATATTTCTAATCCAAATTTTTGGAACTGATAATATTTCATAATTTCTATTTAAGAGATTTTGATATCTGACCTTTCACAATGCATACAGATTGATATAAGTAACAGAATCGGTTTTATTTTCACTAATATTTCATTGTCAACTAACCTTTTAGAGCTAAGTCAAATCCATAAATATGTTTTACATACACAGAAGTTCTCCTCATTTATTATCTAGCAAGTATTCCAGTTTTATCAGAAGGGCTTTTGTGAAGATTTTAGAAATTTCACAGATTGGAATCATGAGTCAATTGAGGCTAGACCACCATGGAAAGCCTGGAAGCACTGAATGGCCGTTTCGTCCTAGTATGGGACTCATCAGTAGTGCGCATCCACGATCCTGCACCCCGCGAAATTCGAACCCAGGGCCTAGGACGAAACGGCCGTTCAATGCTTCCAGGTTTTCCATGGTGGTCTAGCTTCAATTGACTCATGATTTCAATCAGTGATATCCCAGTTTTGTTTAGTTACTTTAGGTTTATTCTTGGAGAACAACTTTAACCTCGAATTTCTTCCCCAATCAATTAAAAATAAATAATTGTTGGTGAAAATCAGTGATTTTATTGTTAATTAACCGATAAATAATATACTATGATCAAAAACTGTAAAATCAAGATAATATTTTAAATAATAGTTTCAATTAAAACAAGAATAATTTCTATCTCACATTAAACAAAAATAATCGATAAATCTAAATTATCGGCATTTCATTTACCCCTTGTTTCCTTCCATTTTATTCTCTTTTCCTCTTTTTTTCAATTTTTCTGTGAATTTATTCATATCCATTTTGTTATAGGCCGTTTTTTTTATTTTCATGCCTAGTTTATTGAAATTAAATATCTCTTTATATTCTATTGTTTTATTTCAAATGTTACAATAAAAATAGGGGGAAATTTTTTTCTTTTTTGTTGTTTTAATTAATTGGCTTGTATTTAATGATTCTTCAATTTACCTACCTGTTTTATATACCATATAAATACATTTAGACTATTATCACATTTTTTAACAATAAAAAGTAACCCTGATAGAAATTCCCAAATTACAAAATCATGTTACATTCCATAACCTTAGTGACAATAATTTCATTTCAATAAAAAAAATAAAGTTCTTTTTACACTAAAACAAAATATCGGCAAATAATTGACAATACACGTTGCCATTGAAAATATTAACATTTTTTTTTGAAATTGTAAGAATGGTACATTGTTTAGTTTTAATTCAAAAGTATATTGTGTTAAATTATCGAAAAAGAAACACATCAGATCTTGCAAATTAAGTTTTAAGATATTTATTATTGATTATACTGAAATTTGGTATATTAGTATAAATATATAATATATAATGTACCCTTGTGAGCTAGGGTAATTTTACATTGGTTTTCAGGAGAACTAGACACAATCCAGACTCTCATGTGACAACCAAAACAATACAACTCAATCCTGTTTAACAGGAGAGCCAAACACCGCTCAGGCTTAAATTTTATAACCCGAGCAGTACAGCACAATATCGCTTCACAGGAGAACCAGACATCGTATAGGCTTTAACGCTAAAGTCTGAATTGTACAGCTCAATCCTGTGGTGCAACCACACAGGTACCAAGCACCCTGGTGTTTTTTTCTTTTTTGACTTACCAATCAAATGTTATCATACATGAGTGGAATAGTTAGAATGGCAGCAGAAGCTAATCTAGTCTAAATAGTAAATGAGGAAAAAGAGGTGAGACTATAATTTATGGACGGACCAATCAGATTTACGATAACAGGTTTTGGATTTTGGCGCGAAATTCATTCACCCATTTGGCTAGACAGAATCCTGGTATTATAGCTGGTGTCAGTTCGTGATGAAAACCCTAAATCTAATTCCTAAACCTAACCGTCAACTATAAATCATAATCCTTATTCTTCAAACTGCTTTATAACCCTCACTTAGCCCTAGTAAGTAGGTAGACACTCTCCAGGTCACTTTAGCGTCGCTCAGAAGTTTTCCATAAATTATAGTCTCACCAAAAATGCGTGTACTTCATCAATAGTGTTCCTCATTGCCTAAAGCGAATCATTTAAGCAAGTTTATTTTCAAGGACTCCATTTACCGTATGATAGTTTGCAATTAGATGGATTTGCATTATGGAAAATTCTCCCAAAATGATTTAAAACCACATAATCTACTCACCGTGACTTTTTAGTAAATTATTTGATTGTGGTTATTAAAGCTGTACCATTCCTATTTGGTTAATATTTAACTGAGACAATATCAAAAACACCGTTTTATGGTTGTACGATGACTGAAATTATTAACAAACAATCAATGTTTGTATATTTCATTTGACTGGAAAATTTGAAGCTGTTGTCGAATTTAAATCAGTCTTATCTCAATGACCCATGATGTACAAATGGATCTATGACATATGGCTACCTAAAACATTTTCGTTTTACAAGCGCTACCAACTATTCAATCTGACAACAGTATCAGTAGCCCAACTAGATGTTTTAGTCCTTCTTCGAAATTGACAGTCATTTAACGGCATATCAAAATATCTGACAGTTTTCTTTAGTGGTTATTAGTTATAAGCAAAGAGTTTGATAACAAAAACAACCAAAGGTAATCACATTCTTATTTTATGTTCCACTACAACCTCGTTACCTGAATATTTTGTTGTGATTAGCATGACAGATGTATATTACTAGTTCTTTATTTATTTTATCAATGATAGTAATCATAAACTTATAGATGGACGAATGGCCAGAATTTTAAGGAAAATAAAAAATTTAGTCATAAAAGAGTAAACAAAATGTGATTGTAGATTGACTGTATAGACAGTAGTTAAATTATGAAACTTTTATTCGGAGGTTTTGAGTTAATAATAAGGTTATTTTATATTTATTTATAAGTTGCTCGGACATCAAGAATCATAAAACGAAAAATAACAGAATCCCATGAGGCATTATTTATTTGTTAAATACACAATTTTAAATCCTTTTCAACACTCATTCCTTTTGCTTTTAACTCTAGTGTGTCTCAAAGTATCTATATGTGTTTTATGTCAAATAAAGCTACAATGAGATGCTTTTTGAATTTCACTGATAAACATTACTCTTTATGCTTTTGACTCCTCCGGTTTCAGAGGAAGAACGACTGATAAATTTTCAATTAGCTTTTTAATAACAAATCAGAAGTTATAGGTTAGATTTAATAAATGATACATATTTCTTACAGTACAATAAGCTTTTCGAAGGATCCGATTTGGTGATGGAAGCTATCTCCAATTGACAAGACACCTCTTGTTATTAATGACTAACTGATAAAATCACTGAAAATAATTTGGATAATGAAAATAATCATTAGTCATTTTTACGATTTTTCTTAAAAAGTAAAGACATTTGAAAAATAAACCAACTATTAACAAATAGATATATTAATGCTTAGGCCCTATGTTTTAAGCATATACACACGGCTTCAATAATCTATAATAATATCACTCAAAATAACGTAAGTTAGTCAGTCGTAAATGCTGTAACACTGCGAACAGTTTGCATAATATCGGAGTATTTATTTACCATCTTATCATTACTATCATAGTGTATCCTTATCAGTGGATTAATATATAAAACATAAAACGTAAAGTTAATTACATATCCTTACGTGATAAAGAGTTGTGATTTAACTAAATTATATAAATTTCAACCACTTGGTCAAAGATTTGCTCTGACAATTTTGGCCTAGATATACAATTGGTAAGATTATCTATCAAAAAGTGGGTATTTTTTATAACTAAATATATGAAATCATACTTGATCAATAAGTTATCTGAATACGTAGAGTATGTTAATAGGAACTAGTACATCAATATTACTTACAATGGCGAAGTACCTTATCACATCCAAGAAAGTGATCGTTGAATGCAGCTGTTTAGAGTTTCAAAAATTATCTTTGTGGTGTTATTTATTGGCAATAAAATCCTATCTAAGGCTTTCTCTCAGCGTTTCTGCATACTAGGGGTAACCTTGCAAGCCAACTTGAGTGTTCAATGGAGATCGGACTAATAACCCACTCCGTTGTATTTTTGATTAACTCGCGGCTCACTTAACTGCACCGGGTCACCTGATGTGTATGCATATGTATAAGAATTACAGAAGTACTTGTGCCTATGTAGTTCATGTATTTATGTATATGAGAAGAGTGTATGTGCGGTGTCATACAATGGAAACGTTAGCTGAAATATTGTCTGCCTTATGTTTAATAAAATCACCGGCCTAATCTATCAGGTCGAAGACATAATAAGAAGATACGGTTGCAAATACTAGGTAGACGCGACCAACAACCCCTCCTAAGAGAATCCTTATGCTTAAGTGCGTACCAGGAGGTACTGAGGCGTTAGCCATGGGCTGAATGATATGCATGTAGTGTGTGAGAGACAGTCTGTTGTAGAAAATACATTTCAAAGAGAGCGGTGAACATCTACCCTCCCTAAATGAGTGAATATACCTATGTGAATGCTATGGAATGCATGGAGTAAAACCTGTGTGTTGCCGGTATGCATGTATTGTATATTTGCTCACGGGATAGGTATACCTGTATTTATACCAAGAAATACTTTAATGAAAGTCCGTGTATTAC